CCTTGGAGAGGCTCAAGTCACTGTCCACCCTCCACAAAATTTGCAAGATCAAAACAACTTAACAGCCCAAATTACAGAAACCATCACCGCAGCACTCTCAAAAGCCACAATCCTAAAGCCAAATTCTAACAAAAACCCTTTCTCTCTGCCGCCTGAGCTCAAAACTCTTATTAAAAATCGTAACCGGCTAAAACGAAGGGCTAAACAATTCACCGACTCAGAGCTTAACAAACAGGCAAACAAATTAAACAAGGAAATTAAAATTTAGATCTCAAACTTAAGAAACGAAAGGTGGACAGAACTTTTGGAAAACCTCCCAACTGGCGACCCGCGCGCCTGGAAAATCTCCAAGGCTATGCGCGGAAAAACAAAAACGCACTTTCTCCCTATACATGGTGAGCGAGGGGTGGTCTATTTGAACGAAGAAAAAGCTTTTGCGGACTCCCTAGAATGCCAGTTCTCGCCAAACATTTCCGAAAACGACAACCTAGATTTAGATGAGGAGGTCGACAACGTCCTCAGCGAAATCGAAGACAAATAAAGTGTTATTTGTCTTATTCTCGTCAGGTGGTTAAAATATAAAATCAATATCTCAATGAGTGGGTAAAAAGAAATTTCTGAATCAAAATTGCATGGTCATTAATACATTATGCATGCCTACTATAAATTTTGTATTACTGAATTTTCGAACAGAATAAAGTTTCTAGCTAAATTCGATATAGCGACGCTAGAGCGACTCTAATTTTACAGCTGAAAATATCCTATTTCAATTGCTTTAAAGTATATAGTTGGTATAGGAGACAGGTTGACTTATTTGCAAGACACAAAACTGTTCAAACGGACTTAAATTTGGATCATTCAGCACTAATAAAACAATTCTGGTACGACTTCCATTTAGAGTCTAGTTAGTGGAAGGAAAAAATCAACCTAATTCAAAACTCAACCCTACTTGTCTGTTCAGATTTATTTTCTGCGAACAGAAAACCTGAATTAACATGTTAGAGATTGAGTTTTAACTGGAAAAAATATTTATAGTTCTAACTAAAAACCTAACACAAAGAAACTAGCACCAAACTGATAGTAACATCAGTTCCATTCTATGAAAGGGGCTTAAACGCCGAAAAGCTCACCAGTTTCAGTAATTCAAACCTACCAGTTTTAGTATTTCCTACTAAATGACAAACTAGATTATTGAAACAGAATGATTAATGTTTTTGTTAACATAGGAAACCAGTCATATAGAAAATAATGTTTTAATTTTAGAAAAGGGCCTCCTAGATGGTCTGGTCCTTCAGGTGGCCCAGGACCGAATGGCCCGCCTCCCAGATTTCGAGGAAGAGGAGGTTTTGGACCACCGCCTGGAATGTTTAGAGGTCGCGGCGGACCTCCACCACTGTTTAGAGGTGGACCGCCACTGAGAGGTCCACCAGGTAAGACTCAAGAGCCACTGTAACCAAAAAAAGTCAATAGTAATGTATGGATAGTTCATAGTTTACCCTCTAATTCGAACTAATTGATTCAACATTGCTAAGTGACACATTGTTTCGTTGAGCATGTATAATATTGTCTAAACGAAAGCAAATCGCATTAAACAAAAGGCTGCATTATGCCCGGTTTCTGATTGATTCCTTAAGAATCAAGAAGAGATTTGATTCGACAGATCCAGATCGGACGAATTAAATATTTTCCTTTCCACTAATTAACATACTAAGCACGAGTGCCGATTCTTCCAGTGGGATTGGAGGTATCAGATCATCATATCAGAAAGAAGTGGACTGAAATCTTACGTTTCAGACAGACTTGGTCTGGCGTGTAGTATTTCAAGTGAACTGAAAGATCTGATCGTTGCAGAGGCAGATTAGTTAAACTAAGTGTTTAAAATGCGAAGCAAGAAACTTACAGCTATTGCTTGTGCTGGCATCATAGTGGTTTCAGAAAATCAACGCAAAAAAAATGAGAAGAAAGTGGGTAGACTAGAGACTATAGACTGGAAGGGCGTCGGCAGCCATAGGGAAAAATGCGGCAAAAAAAATTAGAAATCGAATGCACGCTGGGATTTTTTATAAACACGTTGTTATTAAAACAATTAAATACATAATTATAGAAAAACAAACAAACGATACAAACCGAACGAATTAAAACCAACGTTAAAAAGGCAAATTGATCTAGCACTTTCTTAGTGAAATACTGCAAATTCTGAGAAAGATACATGTGTTCTGTGCACACTAATCATTAGGTACCTTTCAGTTAAACCCCGGCTGTTCTGGGCAACCTATTTTGTTCGCTCATACAGTTGTTCGAAAAACCTATATTTTTAAATTTGAGCTTATATTATTAATGACTACATCTGATTTACTTTTGTAACTTCATATCTGAAATATGTCATATTTAGCGTCGCCTTTAACAAAGAACAAACTATGTTTACCACAATTTTTGCAGTTAACAATTGAAAATGTAAACATCATTGCGCTTGAACATATGGCGTAGTCTGTACATATACGGTCTGATTCTATATACCGTCTGTGACATATCTATAATTCAAATACGAAAAATCACTTCATACAGTGGCAATTCATTTTCTTCGGCCCAACGTAGGCACAAATTAAATTAATCGACCGCCTATTTACTGGGTATTTTCTGAAAGCTTTGTCTTCGTAGTCGAAGTAGTGATTTTCTCCTGTGATATTCAGCCCTGTGCTGTATCATAAATGCTATTTTTAACGGCCACACGTTAGATCAACTTAACAGTTCAGGATAACATTTTCCATAACGCAGCAACACAACCGAGGTGTGCTCTATCTCCGAGTTAACGTATGCGTTTCCGACCCAGTTATCCATCAAACGTTAAAAAGGAAAAAAATAT